AGATCTGGGGCCCAGAGAGAGGAGCAACCCCTCGAGTTCAAGGTCGGACCTATGGAATGCATCCTAGAACTCAGAGTGAGAAGAATAACCAACAACTCCATATCCAATTCAATCCTCAGTGTAACCCTGCAGATGGGGAGGTGATGCCGTCCGCCCCATCTACAGATGAAAACTGGAAGCGCAGAGAAGTGAAGTTCCCTTCCCCAAGGTGGCAGAGGTTGGCAGAGGCTAGCTTTGAACAAGGTCTTTGCTTTCTGCCCCTCCACCTGCCACGCGCCTGCTTTCAGAGGGGAGTCCCTAGCCTGTGCACCTTTGTTGACACTTACAGAGCCACCTGGTGATTTACAGCCTTCATTCAGTAGATGTGACAGACGCATGTGAACGCCGTGCCTGGGAGAGGCCCTGGGTTGAAGGCACAAAGATGGAGAGCGGTTATAATCTAGTGGCAGAGCTATAGAGCAGCACAGCAGATGAGAGAATTGTGCTTCCAGGAGGGAGGTGATCTGCCACAGCCCGCATGGTCAGTGAGGGGCAAGAGCAGGATGAGAGTCTAACTCTGAACCCCGTTCCTTGATAAAGAGTCACCCAACGGTCCACACTTACATAAATTGCTCACTCTCTCGGGTAACCACGGAAATGCAAACGGAGACCACAGAGAGATGCCACTTTACACTCATTGCATCAACACACATTTAAAAGTCTGATGAAGCAGGTGCTGGTGAGGATGGGGAACAGAGGACACCCTATGCACTGCCACCTGCATGGCACAAGCACTTTGCATGGCCCCATCAGGTGGGTAAAGACACAGTGGCAGTGGGCACCTGTGCAGTCACAGGGACCTGCACCTGGCACAATGCTCCACCGGCGCCACCCTGAACCCCCAGTCATCTATCAAGGGCCCTACGTTCTGATCTGCACTGGGCCCTGTAGGCTCCCTGGCCAGTCCATCCCAGCAGCTGCGCTCTGTGGCACATGGGTGCGGGAGCCCTGCTGAGGATGTTCGCACAGCTCGGCTTCTGCAGAGACCAGAAGCCCACACAGCATGGATGGATTTGAGAAACAGAATGCTGACTCGTGACAACATGAAGTAGAATACACACAGCAAAAAATTTTTAAAAATCTTTTCATGTGTTTCAGCATTTTTCTATCTTTTCATAAAAAGACAAGTAAAGCCCTGGAAGGCATAACTCAATGGGTTGAGCGCAGGCTGCGAACCAAGTGTCGCAGGTTCGATTCCCAGTCAGGGTACATGCCTGGGTTGCAGGCCATGATCCCCAGCAACTGCACATTGATATCTCTATCTCTCTCTCTCTCTCTCTCTCTCTCTCTCTCTCTCTCTCTCTCCCTTTCCTCTCTAAAAATAAATAAATAAAAATCTAAAAAAAAAGACAAGTAAAATGAGCATTGTTTACAATAGCCAAGGTATGGAAGCAAACCAGTGCCCATCAGTAGTCAAGGGGGTAAAAAGCCTGTGGCCCTTGCACACAATGGAATGTTACTCGGCCATAAAAAAAGAATGAAAATCTAACCTTTTGCAACGGCATGGATGGACCTAGAGGGTACTGGTTGCATGAAATCAGTCAGTCAGAGAAAGTAAAATAAAACAAAATTGCGACAGATTGATAGATACAGAGAACAGACTGAGGCTGCCTGAAGAGAGGGGGCTGGGGGCTGGGTGAACGAGGTAAAGGGGTTAAGAAGTACAAGTTGGCAGCTGCAGAACAGTCACGGGGATCAAGTGAAGCGCAGAGAACACAGTTGATAACATCGCGATAACTAAGTATGGCGTCAGTAGGGGGACTAGGAATGTCAAGGGGAACACTATGTCAAGTATGCAGCGATCCCTCACCTGTTGTGGGAGTTACGTTCCAGAGAGCCCTGCGATAGGTGGAAATCCGTCAAGTAGTGACGTTATACTTATTTTATTATTATATATTTTAAGGCTTTATAAGCCCTTCCCACACTCCTATAAACCTTTCCCACTCTCTTATTAACCTTTCCCACACTCTTATAAACACTTCTTATGCTCTTAAATGCTTTCTACACTCTTAAACCTATGTAATTTTAACAACATATAAAATTCTATATGGGTGCTCACCAGTGAAGTAATATAGTCGTTCCTCCCTATATCGCGGTTCACTTACTGCGGCTGTTGTTTAAAACCCACGATACGGTGAAGCCGCAGTAAGTGAACCGCGATATAGCGAGGGACGACTGTATGATACTTGTCTAACCACTAAGCTGCACACCTCAAAAAAACACAAAATAAACAAAAAAAGACAAGCAAAATAAAAGTGTATAAAAAGATATATATATATATATGTGGTAAAATTTATTTTAAAAATCCTCTTTAAAGATGATGCAGAGTGTGGGCACTCAAAGGTGCTGTTGGCAAGACGATGTTCTGAGGTGGGTTGGTGGGTCTGTGATCATTAGGCTTCATAGCTAATCTATGGCATTGATTTTCAATGTGTTTATGTCAAATACTTCATATTTTAAAAGCAGAAGAAGTGGCCCAGGTGTGCGTGCCGTGGGGATCAGGTATGGAGTTAAGGACACAGGGTGCACGGCAGGGCCGGCCAGCTGCACCGGTCACGCTGGCTGAGCCTGGAGGGGAGAGGCCGCCGTGAAAGGGGAACTTTCTGCGGAGGCCCGGCCCTCCCGGGGGTGCGAGGTGGCTGCTGAGAGCCAGCTTCGTAAAGCCAGGCTTCTTTCTCAAACACGATGATGCAAACGGGCGCTCCGTGCGCTCGACGGCAGCCTGGTTTCGCCAGCTCTTCGTACAGCTCTTATTCTGCGTCTGTTTCATCATCCGTGGCTCGTCGACACCATTTTAGCAGTGTCTCTGGGCAAGAAGGTGCCTTTCGTTTGAAAAAAAAATTTTTTTTTTAATGTACTTCTAAACACCTTGGTTATTTTGTTCCATACCCAAAATCATATCTTGTTTTTCTTCTTCTCTCTTGTCTGAGTTTTGTCACATTGTCATATTGCTTTATAATTTAAGAAAGAAGGGGAAGGGCGCAGGGAGGAGAAGGGGAGGAGGTGAGAAGGAGGAAGAGGTCTCCCCCATCGTAGCCAGAATGACTGACAGTGGTCTAGGGCGGGGCCTGCCTGGGGTGGGCAGTGGAGCCCCTGTGGGCCCCTGTAGTGTGCCCAGAGTTGGCACCTGGAGCAATCCTTAAAGGGACTCTGAGGAGGTCATGCCCACTGCTTGGCCTTGGGTGCCCAGATGTCCAGGATGCCCCAGCCCACTCCCAGGAAGCAGACCCAAGATGAAGCGTGGCTTTATGTGTGGGCTTGGCTGAGCCGTCCTTGACTGGTTCAGGACCTGCCTCTGCCCCACACCAGCCTGATGACAGGAGGGCAATGTGGGACCACAAGGGGCAGCTGGGGAACCGTCAGGGCCCTCTGAGGGCAGCTCTGGGGTGGGCTACTCACCAGCTTTCCCAATGGGGCATCTTGCTTCTCTGCCCACCCTGCAGCCACTCTCCCCTCAAGCCTACCCTCAGGGAACCTGGCTAACTGCTTGAGACTCAGTCCCCATGGCTCCAGCTCCTACCCCTCCCCCAGATAGACCCTGTGCTGGACTTGACCTCTGGGTGCAGATTGTGTCCTTGCTGGCAGAGAGCCTGGCTGATATCTCTGGCCTCCACTCCCACCTCCAGCATGATGGCCTGATCTGGCCGGGGCCACTTAGCTCCTGCCCGCTCAGAGTGCCCTGTCCCTCAGGTTGCCCCTGCCCCCAGCCAGTGGCCCCAGAGAGAATGCTGTCCTGGGCTCCACGCTCTGTGGCAGTGGGAGGAAGTTTGGAACCACCATCTGGCTGCCGTGATGAGATTCAGACACATGAGGCAACTCATTAGGGAACAATGGAGACAGCATATACTTAAGACCGAGGATTCTGCTGGGCAGATTCTGTGGGAGCTTTGAAGGAGGAAGAGGGGGCGAGGGCAGGGGAGGGCAGATGGGTGACTAGCTGGGGAGGGGGGGTGGCAGTGACAGGGCCCAAGTGGAAGCCCCACCCCTCGCTCAGTGAAAGGATGAAGAGACCAAGCTGCCTCCCTAGCCTGGTGTGGTCTGGAGGGCGGGAGACCACTGCCCCAGGCTGCCTGGAGCAGGAGGGGACGGGGCCCTGGAAACTTGCAGGGGTGATTCAGGAAGGGCTAGGGAAAATGAGGCCAACCAGGCCTGAAAGCGGGCAAGAGGGTCCCACGGGCAAGGAGAGTGGGCGAAGGCTGGGGGAGGGGCTGACAGGGAGGGAGTGATGCAGCAAACCCTGGCTAGCGGGCCCCAACTAACCTGAAAGCACAAGCTACCCCACCCTGTTTGGGGGAGTCCAGGCAGCATTTTGGGGCCCTGACTCAGCAGCTTCTGCATGGAGGAGACACTGTTTTTAATCCTCATCCAAGAATATGGTTTTAAAAACAGCAAATTTTAGAGAGAGGAAGGGAAAGAGAAACATTGATCGGTTGCCTTCTGCACGCACCCCAATCAGGGTTAGGTCCTGATGAGATCAAACCCACCACCTACCAACGGAGCCACGGCCAGGGCGTGGAGGCGGCCATTCTGACCTTGTCCAGGTTCCCTGGACGTCCGGACTCAGCCAGGAGCACGAGGAAGAACCTCCTCCCATGGGGCTGCGGCCCGACTCGCTCCCAGCTGACAGTTGTGCATGCGGGGCCTCTGTCAGCCACCCAGGGGCCCCAAGGACTCCTATGGGTTCCCAGAGGCCTGGCCTTGGTGCCACGAGCCCTGCACATGCTCACTGTGAACTCGGCTTCTTGCTGCTGGTGAGGGGGGCTGGGACCCCAGGCATGTGAACCAGGCTGGGCAGGCCAGCTGGAGGGGCTGGGGGCCAGGAGGGCTCCCTTCAGAATTCATGTTTCCCCTGCAGCGAGGTTTGCAAGGTCCCCCTGCACCCCAGGAGCTTCCAAACACCCCGAACACCCAGGGAAACCAGGAATTCAGAGGTGAGACAAGGCAGGACTCAGGACTCGAGACACATTTCAGAACTTGTGTTTTATTGACACTTGAGCACAGCAGCCCTGGGAGGAGACGGCCTTTCTGGCCTCTTACCTTGGGGCTTGTCCCTGCAGGCAGAGTAAATAGCCACCCTGCCTTAGAAAGGACCCCCATCCTCCACAGAACCTCATAAAATTCGTACAGATAAACCCTCGTCAAGGCTGGCACAGCGTGTGAATGGCAAAGCACGGCAAGTTTGGCAAAGCTGTGGGGCCTGAGGAAAGCCCAGGCCCCAGGGGCTGCCCCTCTGGGCTATGGGCAGGATGGAACCAAACAGCCCGGTCTGCACTAGCCCACCTGGCTCCCACAGGGCTGGCATTGGGCCAAGCCCGTCAGAGCTGGGCCCGCAGCCCTAGGAACACTGCTGAGGTAGCTGGGGAGGGGGCGAGGCCGCGACTGCAGTGGGCTCAGGGAGGGCGGGAGACGGCACTGCAGCCAAAAGCTGACCCAGGACTTCAGCAAGCCCGTGCTTCTCCCTGGGGCCTGGCACCCTATTGCTATCTCCCTAAAATACGCCCATTTCCTAGCCCTGGGTGCTGAGGATAGGCTGGGTAGGGGAGGTCACGTGTTCACCTCTGGATTTCAGCAGTGGGTAGCTGGACTGGCTGCCCTGGGGAGCCCCACTGTGCCTGCCCCCCTCCCAGGCCCTCTCACCTCAGCTGCCTCCTCTCCCACCCCTGCTGGCTTGGGATCGGCTCTACCTGTAAAAGCGGAGCTAGAGTTCTTAAAAGCGGAGCTAGAGTTCTCCAGCTTTTGTATTCCACATAAAACCCTGGCATCAGTAGCTCAATTCTTTTCCAACCCACTTAGTTTTAAGAATAGACACTAGTAATACTTAATCACCCTGCTGGCGGTGGGGGAGGGGCCTCAGCGCTGGCAGCATCTCTCCAGGATGTGCTGGGTTCGCCCCAGGGCCTCCCTGCACCTCCAGAATTCTAGGAGCTGCTGCAGACTCATGCAACACTGTGCCCGAAAAAGGGGAAACTGAGGCCCTGGGAGGTGCAATGACTTATGCAGCTCACATAAGGAGCCGGTGGCAAAGCTGGGACTCAAGAGGGGGATCGAAGTTTCCAGACCAGTGTCTCAGCTAGGGGTCCCCTTGGGACTGTGGCCTGAAGAGGGAGTGGAGCAGGCTGCTTGCAGGTTGCAGATCTCCCAGTGGCTCCCCCTGCAGCTGGTCCTGATGGAAAAGACCTGCTCGGTGCCCAGGGGCACAGCAGGAGAGCACGGCCTCCTGGGCCGGCAGGCCAGCCAGACTGAGGACAAGCCTGGAGAAATGTCCTGGTGGGGCCTCCAGCCAGGGCACAAAGCAGACCATCTAGTGGTGTAATCCAGACCCCACATGGCGAAGCTTCTCTCTTGGTAGCAATCCATGGAATAAGATTAGCAAAGAAAAGAGGAAAAACAAGCCCACCACCCGCTCCTTCCAGTCAGGCCACGCCCAGCCTTGTGCTGGGAGGGGCTGACAAAGGGGCTTCTGGCCCCCAGAAGGCACCGGGGCCTTCGAGTGAAATGGGGCAACACATGGTCATGCTGGCTGCCGAACATTCTCTGAACGGCAGTGCCCGTGTTTAAGATGCTTTTATCACGAGACCCTAAGCAAGGCACTGACTACATGGTCTGCGCATCTTCATCCTGCTCTAGGGGAGGGGTACAGTCAGCCTACAGGCAATGGCGCCCCAAGGCTCCCACCCTTCCCTCTGGACAGCCCAATCACTTCGGGAGGGATGGCTTCCACCATCTGTTCCTTCCCCAAGACTCCCCTCAGTGCCGCTGGGATCAGGGGGCTCTCTGCGCAGACCTTTCTGGGGCCCTGCTGCTGTGGGTAGACTCAGAATGCTTCCTCCGTACCTCCTGGCGTGGGGCCCTGGCACCAAGCTTCCTCCCACTGCCTAGCGCCCAGGGAACATCCTGCAGAGGCCTTGGTTAAGCCACCCACTGCCCTTCCCAGACCACCAGCCTCTGCCTGCAGCAGCCCTGCCCACACGGCAGCCCAGGTCCCACCTGGAGCCCTCACTACTTTCTACTCCACACAGTGGTTGTATCACCCCCGCAACATCAGCTTCACCTTCCCAGGGCAGTAGGGGACCTGGGCACAGGCTCTCACAGGCAGGCAAGGCTGGGGGCAGACACAGCAAGGCAGCAGAGGCTGTCAGCTATTGGCAAAAAGAGGGGCAAGGGCTGGGTGGGTGGGACAGACTCCCAGCTGCACTCCCGCTGCCTCCAAACAGACCCGCCAGCTACATCAGACCCGCCAGAGCCTCTTATGTGTGTTTCTGAATGAAATCAATCCAACTGCCAACACACGAGACATCCTGGAACATTCCAAACAGCAGCAAGGATCTGCCTGCTCGTGGAGCTCAAGCTCTCAGCCTAAAGTCCAGCCAGATACCAAGAGGCAGGGCCAAGGAAAGTGGGGATCAGGCAGGGACCACGGTCACCCTGAGCTCCCGGAGTCCTGCAGCCTGGCCTGGGCCACGCCGCACAGCCTACGCTCTTGGGGACCGACCACTCTGCTGCCCATGGCACATCCCCGAGTCAGACAGAACTCTCCTGGGAAGAATTCTGGCCTAAACCATCCGCTGTCACAACATTAGCCCCACTTCTGTGGAAACTTAAACGTGCCTCTTAGAGCCCATCCGAGGCCTGGCAGGTCCAGCCTTACCTAGAACTGTTTAAGGCACTTGAATGGCTTATTAACACTACCTGGAAAGGTTTTTGTTTCAATCTTGATTTAAGAAAAAAAAATCAGTAATACTGCAAAAGAAGTTTCCCCTAAAAAATATCAATACGTTAAGTTTTCTAAGGAATAAAATAAATGCTAAGCTCTGCTCATTAGACAAACAGGCCCTCTTGGCACTGACAGAACAAAGACAAAACCTGAAATACTGCTTTTCTGGATCGGACTTTCCCCCGGGGTGGGGGCGGGGGTGGGGGTGGTGGGGGGTTGGCACACAACAGACAAGCGTAGCATCTCTGAGCTGCCCCCCCCGGGTGTGTGGGGGGGACGCGAGGGGCCGGTGAGGCCAGGGCCACATGTCACAGCTGCCATGATGCAGGTGGGTGACCGCCGTAGACCCGATCCCCGATCCTCTCCTGTGTGGGGAGTGAGCTCCATCAGCCAGGCCTGGCCAGGCATGTCTGCAGACACGAACCCCCGCTACAGCCAATGAGGAGTGGGGGAGAAACCTGCGCCGGGCACCCTGGGTCTGCCCAAGGGCTCACACAGTGTCTGCTGCCCCACGCACTGCCCGGTGTCTTTGGTCCTCTGGTTCCACCCCTGCCCCATGGGGAGCAAGGGCCAGTCCAGTTCCCGGGTCAGCTTCGCTTTGGTGAGGCTTCCTTTGTTCCACGGCCCGTCACGAGCGAGGCACGACGCCCACCATCCCACGCAGTTCCGCAGAGGTCGGGACAGACCCACGGGAGCAGCGCATGGGTTCGGGAGTCCCAGGGGAAAGCACTGCTTGGGTGGTGCCCACCTGCCACCACTACATGTCGGGTACTAGGACATCCGAGGGGTGGGGTCACAGGCGGGTACCACTGGGGGGCTGGGCCTCCTCACTTCTCCATGGAGTGCTGTTCTCCGCCTCTGAGAGGTCACAGGGCACGTCCTGGCTTCTCCTGTCTGCCTGGGAGTCCCCGACCCCCCGGGCCCCACCCTCCAGCAGGTCCTGGGGGTCCCTGAAGAAAACCACCATGACCGTGATGTTGTCATGGGAGCCCCGCTCCCGGGCTGCAGCCACCAGCTCCTCAGCGACACGTAGCCCGCTGCCCTGCTGCTGGACCAGGTGGCTCTGCACCAAGCCGGCGACCTCCTGGTGGGGGACCACGTCAAAGAAGCCATCACAAGCCAGCAGCAGGTAGTCCTCAGAGCCAGTCAGCTCCCGGGAGGCTGAGTCTGCCTCTCCAGACACATAGGGTTTCTGGAAGACATCCCCTGTACGCGGGAGAGAGGCGCCTGGGGTCAGAGAATCGGCTTGCCGGCTGCTCCACCCGTTTTGCCAGCCTGGCCTCACTGTGCCTGCCCCTCCTCCAACACCCATGCTCACGGGCAAGGACACAGGGCAAGAAGATAATTCACATGGAGGGGACATGACAGATTTATTCTGGTGTTCCCGAGGGAAGAATCAAAACCCAGGAGGGCGGGAGTTCAGCTCCACAAAACTGCTTTCTCACTCCCCGTGGAGCAGAGCCCAGAGTGCATGGCCCGGGACACTGCACGGGCGATGGCCCTGGCCCCCCTGAGCTCCTGACAGCGCCCCCCAGACACCCAACAGGCGCTCAACCAAGCTCACTTCTCCCTCACACCTGCTCTTCCAGACTCCTACAGGAGAATGGCACCATGATCCCCGGGTCTTTAGGCCCAAATATTGAGGGTTTCCTCGGATTCTCTCTTACACCCCACATGCAACTTGTTAGCAAGCCCTACCGGCCTCACCTTCAAATGCAGCTCAAACTCTCCTCCCCTGCTGGTCTCTATAGCTCACCCTGGCCGCCAGCCCCCTCCTCCTGCTCTTGCCCTGACAGTCACTGCTCCAAGGTGCACGACCAGACCCTGTGGTCCCTTACACGGAGATACCCAGAAGTCCCCTGTCCCTGGAAGGGAGCCTGGCTTCCCCCTCCCTGCCCTGGTGTGTCCAGAGACTCAAGGGCAGAAGCCACAGGGAGTAGGGGTATATAAAGAGGGCAACACGCTTGGCAAGGACAGGCATTAGCAGGAGGGAGGAGATCCCTCAGTGTCTGAAGAAGAAATGGGGAGGTCAAGCCCCAGACTGGGGCCTGGCAGAGAAAATGGGGTGGGGAAGGTGAGCAGCTGCTTTTACTTCAGATTGTCAAAGACAGAAAGAAAAACAAGAATCATCAGTGTATGTGGGGGTGGACAGACCTCACTTATGGAGTATTTAAAACTTCCAGCTAACCAAAGGCTTCCTTCTAGATCGTTTGAGGAAGCCTTTCAAAAAAGAGGCAGGGACACGCAGCTTGAGCCACAGTGATCCATGCGAGATGCAAGTTTCTAAGGCACCTGCGCCCTCCACACTCCCTTCATGGTCTGATCGCCAACACAACCCCACTGACAGCAGGCACCTTTTCAGCACATGACACTGCTGTCCCGGACAGCTGGGCCCAGAGGCCTGAGCCCTGGGTGGCCTTCACTCCCGCCCTCGCCTCCTTACCAATGGCTCTGGAGACGGCCAGGGTCCCGTTGACTCTCCAGCAGTCCATGTGAGACACGAAGCCCCCCAGGGCTTCGATGCGCTCCTTCTCGTCCTGCGGGAGACAGCCAGAGTGGGGCGGGGTGTCCGGCACTGCCACCCAGAGGAGGCGAGCCGGTTTCTAATACAGTGCTCAGAGCCACAGCCCTCGGAAGATGCCCAAATGGGGCTTTAGTCACACAGTGAGAAATTCTGAACAACCTAATCCCCCTTTAGTTGCGGGAATGGTTAAATAGGTCACTGTGCAAATACACACAGGCCACTCATGGCCACGGACAAGCAGCCTGTCCCTGAGCAGCATTTCAGGGTCAGGGACATGCTCACGAGGCAAAAGAAGGAGCACGAGCCCTGGGGCCAGACGGCAGGTCCCCAGCTGCCTCTCTTTTCATGCAGGACAAGGGCCCTTCCCTGTAAGCTGCTGGGAGGAGACCGAGCGCGTGCACACGTGGCCATGTGGCAGGGCTGGATGAGACCTGAACCAGGCCCTAGGCAAGCCCCGCGGCCCGGCTCCTCATCCTCCTCCTGCACCCGCAAGACCCTGCCTGGCTCCCAGAGGAATGCGGTGCTGCTGGCCTGAGCGGACAGAACAGAGGCCCAGCCCAGCCGCGAGTCCTCAAACCTCTGGCCCTATAAACTGCCCCCAACCAGAGGTTTCCAGACGTGAGTCTGCCGCCTCAGGGAGGGTAACGACAGTGTCTGCTGCTTGATGATGAGCCCAAGGCTTGGAAAGGGTGGAGCAAGGGCCAAGCACAGCCATCTGTCCTTGCTCTTTGCCACGGTGTCATACCTTGCCCCAAGCTCAGACAGTGTTTGGAAAGTGCTACCTGCAAAAAGTCCCCAGTGGGCCTCCGAGGAGGTGCAGGACTCTGGCTTCCACGGGTGAAGCCAGTGGGTGCAGAACCAGCACCCCAAGCAGAGGTTTGTATCTACTACTAATCTGGGCCACAGTTCACCCGACTGCTTGTCTTGGGGTAGGAGGGCCCACTGGAGAGCAGGCACTGGAGGCTGGTAAGTGACAGAGAATACCTGCCATTTCCTGGCTGTGCTTTGGGCAAGTTACTTAACCTCCCTGGGCTTCAGGTCTCTCCATATGACGGTGAGAGTGTATCTAGGAGGCTGCGCACAGGCTGGGAGCTGTCGTGAGGCTAAGGAAGGCCGTCATTCCTAGCTGTTTTGATACTCCCTGCAGTGCTTTCTAGAAGCCACAAAAAGACAGTTCCACACAATTACATAAAGCCAACACTTCCACGTGGAAAAACCCATACAAAAAGACAAAAGAATTTGCAAATCACTGCACAGACAGGGGGCCAACCTCCCCAATATTTATAATACGCCTGCAGATCGGTAAGAAAAAGGGTAGCAGTTCAGGACAAATACGGGTGAGGGACAGGAACAGAGTGTTCCCAGGAAAGGTGACGTAAATGATCTTCAGCGTTTGAAAAGATGCTGGAGCCGGTGCCTTAACAGAAACGCAAACTAAACAAAGGCCTTCTCTCCTCAGGACCCCACACAGCCTAAGGGGGTCGTTTGGCAAATCTGTGCCCTGAAGATGTACCTGAGCAAGGTACACCTGCACTGGTACAAGGAAATGCTGTACTGTTATTCACTGCTGCCTTGTTTCTAGTATCAAAGACTGAAAACAAAAATGTCCATCGTGGAGAGACAGAAATGGATGGAACTCCACCAGCCCTAGGAGAGGGTGGGAGCAGTGTACATGCTGACGGGGAACACCCACAGGTGCATGGGGAGGTGACAAAGCTGGTGCAGAGCACCACGTGGGGCCTACAGGCATCCCCCAGATGCGCAAACTCTCGCTCTCCCACCTCAGGAGACAGAATGGACACCTCTGTGAATGTGATCCTCATTTCCAGGTGAGAATCCCAAGGTACAGGTGGGTGGGTGACTGACCTCAGGGTCTCCGAGAAACTTGTGCCTAACAAAGCCCCAAGCCTGGCTCCTTCCAATCCAGCATCACCTCCTCCCTGAAGCCCTCCTTCCCCATAGCCCAGATGGGCCACTCCTTGCCGGCATGCAGGCTAGGACCCTGCACACTGACCCCGTTTACTGGGCTGCATGCTGGGTAGGGAGCCCGGCTCTGCCCTGCAGCTCTGGGCGCCATCTCACTACGACAGCAGAGGTTCACTGGGACCACTGGCTGTTAGTGTCCCAAGCTTTAGGGGACCCTGGCCGCTGGAGTTCAGCAGGGGAGCTCTCCCCGTGGAGGGGTGCCAGGGGTTTCCTGGGAAGATGGTCCCTTTTACTTCCTCATCTGTCCCAACAACCCTCGGCCAGGGCTCCCTGACCACCCGCTTCCCTGATGGGCCCAGCCAGTGGGGCCAGGCATGTCTCAGGGGTGGGTGGAGGGAGCCCTTACCTGTCGCTCGGGTCTATGTGGCTCCATCAGCTTCACCACCTGTCCCTGCTGTACCAGGATAACCTGGGAGTCCCCAAGCCAGGCGACGTGCAGGGTCTTTCCCGCGATGAGCGCGCACACGCCTGTGGTTCCGCTCTGCAGCCGCTGCGAGAAGAGAAGGCCGAGTGGGTGAGGGCGGGCCGGGCCCCTGCCCGTAGGCATCCGCGGTCCGGACCGAGGGACTGCCGGGAGAGCGCTCGGCCAGAGACGCCGGGGCTGCTGAGGCGGACAGGCACCGTGACGGTCACAGGGCGATGCGGCATGGAGGGAGGGCACGGCCCGTGTGATCTCATTTCTGTCAAACCCGGGAACCACGTCTGCCATGTCAGGAAGTGGAGGAGCAGGGAGCAGGCAGGCGGGCGGGAGGAGGGCGGGAAAACAGGGCAGGAGGTAACTTCTGGGTCGAATAGGCCCATCACTGTGAGGGTTTCACGGGGGCACATATGCTGAAACCTATCATATCGCACACTTTAAATACGTGCAATTAATTCTGTGTCAACTATACCTCAGTGAAGATGTTCACAAATGATGAACTAAACCAAACACCTGCTTCAGAGAACCCTTTCCCAACCATGAGGCAGCCCTGATTTTTCTCACCTCCCAGGGGTGACAGTGGCCAGGAGGCTAAGGCAGGTCGGGGTTTTGCTGCCCCCCCCCCCCCCGCCAGCATTTTAGATGCCCCTGGTTTTCTGTCAGGTCCGCTGTGCCAACCTCTGCGCAGGCCCCCACCCCGTGTCTCCTCACCAGCCGTGTCAACTGGGCCTCCGTTTCCCAGTGTCCAAAATGGACCTGATCTTAGCACCCACCCCCCGGGGCTGCGAGACGACCCGCCGAAGAGAACACAGGTAAGGCTGGGGGGGGGGGGCGGTGGGGGCGGGCTCCTCCCTTCTTCCGGCAGCAGAGGCCTCATCCCCGGGCGGCTCGGCCTCCCTAGGGGGAGCGCTCCGGAGACACCAGCTGCTGCCGAGATCCGGCCGGAGAGCAGCGGGGACTGGGGCTGTGTGCTAACTGGGGTTTTGTTTTCTGTATTTTACGATGCTTGAATAAGTCAGGGGCCTTGCTAACCCTGGAGAGAATCCCCACCCTCACCCGCTGGGCCAGCCGATTCCTAAGGACAGCAAATACCTCCCCGCAGAGCGCCTGTTGCGCACAAGCCAGCGGGTTGGGAGCCCACGTCTCCAACCACCTGCTCTGTGTCCCGTGCCGGGCCAGCGTTCCCGCGGCCCGGAGGGCTGGGGACTGGCCCGGTAGCCCAGAGCCCACAGAGCTGAGCCCAACGAGCTAACGCTAAGCTCGCTGGGACCTGCCGGTGGAGACCACAGTGAAGGCCGTGGCCGTGCTTTCCTCTCTCCCTCTGCCTCCTGACCTGTGACAGGGGGCTTCCCACATGCCACTGTGCGGCATGGCATCTCCTTTCGGGAACTGTAAGTACTAAACTGCTCTTTCAGGGCATTTCTCTCTGTCATCTCACCCTGCTTAATCAAGACAAAACCCTGAGCACATCTGAACACAGCCAGCCTGTCCTCCCCCGTGAGGCTGGCGCACCCTCTGCAGGGGCTGGGCCTCTCTGATGCTAATGGGTCCTCGCCCCCAAACTGCACAGGAGGTCGGTCTACCTGTTCTCACCTCGCGCTTGGCCTTCCCGAGGAACATCTCATCGGTGCGCCGGAAAGCTTCTCTGAGGGCCCCCGCAGGGTCGGTGCGCAGCTCCGGCTGGCGAGCCGCATTGGCGTGTACGTGCACTGCAGCGTACCTCGCGGCATCCAGTCCCCCGTGACCGTCGAACACTGCAAAGTAGGCTCGGTCCACGGCGTCCTGGTGGGGAACACAGTGGGGGTCACTGCCCGGCTGGCCTCACGTCTGACCGAGGCTGTGACCCAGCCAGAGGCTCTCATTGGGCGCTGCCAGAAGGGTCAGGAGAGGCCTGGAAGAATCAGCCTGGCCTCCGCCACCAGACCCCTCCAGCGTGTTAGACCCCCTTCTGCACCAGGCTGCTGGCACCAGGAGCTGTGTCAGGCGGCCCCCAGTGCTGGACAGAGCAGGGCTCAGCAATCACGAGTGAGGGTGAACCTGGTGCCCGAGGCACAAAGGATAGAGGCCCTTACAACAAACTCGGGAAAACCATTCCCTGCTCAGTCCCTCAGCTGGGAAAGCAGGGTGGCTAGTGGCTGTCCTGGCCCAGAAGCGCTGGGATGATGAACTGGGCCTCCTCGACTCCCTGGAAGCGCTTTGAGAGATATGTAGCACCTTGGCCTTCAGACGGAGGCTGCAGGCACCACTCCTGCCTCGGCTCTGGCTAGAAGCTCCGCTTGGCACCCAGAGTGGTTTCCTATCCCTTGTGCAAGCCCTCTTCGGCTGTCCTGACTGGGGACACCGGTGCGGCCTCCCTAGGGCCCAGGAGGTGGAGCACTCACGGACAGGCCGAAGAGCTGGTTGAAGGCAGGGAGGCACACGTGCCGGTCCTCCATCCTGCGGCGAGCGTTCCGGATGGCGTGAATGGAGACCAGCCACTGCCTTGGTGGAACCCGGGCCGTCGAGGGCACCTGCTTCTGCCACTGGCTGCATACTCCCCAGAGCCGGTTGAAGAAGCTCCACGCCAGGCCCTTGGCGTCCAGCACTGATGGGCAAGATGGGGGTCATTAGGGAAGTACCACTGCAGGCCAGCTGATGCTCCGCTGGCTCGCCCTGCCCCCCTGCTCCTGCCGTGGCCTCCAGACAGCCCCATCACAGGCCTGCACAGCCCCTCCAGCCATCAGCCCCGAGGCGCGCCAGCCAATATGAAAGGCTGTATCATCAGCAGTGAGACGTGTCTGGTTTGGCAACACGCACTGAGAACCTCCTGCCCCGTGCATGGAGCATGTCCACTCACGGGAGCCAGCCCCAAGGGAACAGCGGAAAATGCGCTGGTGATTTAAGGACAAAGGACAGAGTCACTTGTAATTCTGCACTAATTAGAAACACTACATATCTGTGACAGAATAAATTACAGTTTATACTTTTGACAAAGAATTAAACTATTAAAAGTAATTTTCACCACTAAACACATAACTGTCATTGGCCCAGCAACTGGCTCTGAGGGATGCCCCCCGCCACGTCAGGAGGATGCTCAAGCAGCCCCGTGGAGAGGCCACCAGGTGTGGAACTGAGGCCTCCTGCCAATGGCCGTGTGACTGAAAGATCTTGGAAGTATAGCCCCGGTCCCACTGGCCTTCGTCTGACCTCATGAAACCCTGGGCAAGAACCGCCTGTTCAGCTGCTTCCAAATTCCAGACCCACAGAAGCTGTGGGTCAGTGTTTATTGTTTTAAGCCACTAAATTTTGGGCCAATGTTATGCAGCAACAAGTAATACTGCCGACAACAGAGACTTTAAAAGTTTAAATCCTACCTAACTGGCTCTAAAGAAAACACTAGTGAGGAAGAGGTCCAAAGGAACCCTTAGGTGCCACATCTCAGAGACTCGGTTCATTCTGATGCACCACCCCCTCCTGGGACCCCTGCTGGCCCAGAGGCTGGTGGCAGGTACAGGCAAGTCAGTGCCAGTCACCTAAGAGGGGGGCCCAGGCAAGAAACACGGTAGACTCAGGAGTGTCACAGGCTACACTTGCAGTGTTGGGAGAGCTGGAGAAGAAACAGCTTGTGCCCAAGAGAAGTGGCTGCAGAAAAGAAGGGCCGAGGCCAGGGGAGGCATGGAGGGCCTGGGGGTGCGGGAAGCCCCAGGGAGATACTTCCGAAGAACCCACCCACCGGGGGGTCTAGAATTTGCTGCTGCCACCATACTCAGGGCTCGGCAGCCGTTCAGGCGCTTGTTGAGAACTGTGCTTTGTCAGGTCTGAGATGCCCGGGGAGGCACAGAGTGCCGTTTACTCTCTAGGTCACACTGCTGTTGTTCAGCAGCGTGCTTCAACGTGTATCTTGGCTCCAGCAGAGGGCAATTACCAATGAGAATGATCACCTACGGGGAGGATCACCTGGCCCGCACACTCCCGATGCTGCTCACAGGCCACGCCTGCTCTCCTGGCTCCCACAGAACTACTCACTGGGGAGGGGCTGCTGATGGCTCTACCTGACCCTGCCACATAGAGGTTTTAGTCGAGTCTCTGCCCTTGGGTGATGATTCCACAACACCCCACTGATGGACTTTAGTAAGTTCCACTCCCATGACAGGGACAGCTGATCCAGGCGGGCACTGAGGGCAGGAGCAGGGGCCTGAGCCCCCACGTGCAGATCTGCCGCTGTACTGCTCCTTCCCGCCAGCAGGTGGCGCCAACATCCTGCTGGGAGACGCAGGCAGGGTGGAGCTGGCAGGCGCTCCCTCTGTGGAGACAAAGGCCTGTGGACTTTGCGGAGGCAATGGCTGCCTGTCACTGAGCTGCTGTCTCCCGCAGGTGGGGACACGAGGCTGTGCAGTAAGGGAATGAGGACAGGGAGCCCGGGAAAAGGGCAGGGGACCCGGACAGAAGGGCCCGGCACCTACTGCAGGGGCGGGCTGCTTGTTTTTCTCCTCTTTTGCCGACCCGTTCATTGCTTTGCTTTCAATGCTTCCACTAATGCTGAGATAGTCGGGTAATACAGGAATACCTTGTTTTATTATGCTTCACTGTATCATGCTTGACAGATGCTGCATTTTTTGTAAAATGAAGGCAAGGCACTGTCCCCCCCCCCCCCCGCCCCCCGCCCCAACCACCACCACCAGCAAAAAGATTCTGCTGCTTTGCTGGCCTGAGCTGAATCCCCAATATCTCGAAGGCATGCCTGTAATTAAGCGACATAGGGGAGGTGTTAGCTAAGGTAATATATAAATGAACCAAATCAACCCATTGTATACCTTAGAGTTACACAATGTGATACATCAATTATATCTCAGTGGAAAAATAATAAAGTAACACAGTCAGATAGGAAATGGCAAAGGAAGGGGAACCTGCAGAGGTGCTCACTGCCCTGCCGACCAGGCTTGGGCCCTCCGCACACTCTGCCACAGGCCACAGCCGAGTGACCCTGGCTTGCTGTACGGAGCTCTGGTCTGGCAGGACCCGACATTTTGGTGAGATGTGAGAGAACGGAGTTACTGGGGAAGCGAGAGGAAGACAGGCAAAATGAGAGAGAGCCCTGCCTTCTCAGCGTGAGGCTCACTCTGTTTCTGGGTCCCTCTAGTGTGTGACCACCATCCCAGGAGCAGGCTGCCTCCCCAGGCTCTCGTGGAAATCCAGAGTCTCCACCTGAGGGGGCCAGGTCGGCCCAGGCCATGGGCCAAACTCTAGCATTTTCTACTAGCTAGACATCAAGGCTGCCCCTGGGAGCCCATCCCCACGTCAGCCTCCCAACTCCCACAGCACCATGGGGCGACGTTGGCTGAGGCGGGAGAACAGAAGCAGGACAGAGCCCAGAGCCTGGGGTCCTCCCGTGTGCAACGGGCCACATGTTATCCCCCCGGCTGTTCTGCAGCCCAGTGAGCGGCTGCTGTGCCCCGCCCCGCTGACATCAGGCTACGCGCTGCCACAACCATCTTCCCCGCAGCAAAACAGGAAAGGAGATGTAGGCCAGCTGAGCCCTGCCTTCTCCCACACTGGTGCTCACTGGTGGCCCACCCTTTGTCTGGCCTGGCAAGTGCGTGGCCTGCTAAGCCTGGGGTCCCAAGAAAGAGAACTCACGGGTCACAGGGGCCTTCTGCTCCTCCACTTCCTCGCTGTCCTCCTCCTGCCTGGGCAGCGTCCTGAATTCAGACAGGTCTGTCTGCAGCAGCTGGGAAACTGCTTCATGGGCCAGAGACGAAGCAAGCAGTGGCGGAGCATTCCTGGGATGGGAATAATAAGTGAAGCCAGCACTTCAGTGCTGGCCTGAGCCCTCCAGAGAGAAATCTCGGGCCCTCTCCACCCAGGGAGACCTCCCTGGAGGTAGCAATGACCACATGCACCCCATTGTGGGGCCGTAATGAGCAGGTCAGCCTCTGTTCACATGGCACCATTTACTGGGGCCTGTGTTGCTGCACCAGATGGGGGGAGGGGTGTCACCGAGTTGTCAGCTGTGTCCACTGGCCTTCAAGGCCAGGCCCAGACAAACTGTGCAGTGTTCAGCCTGATGACAGGTGCCTGGTCACCAATACCAGCTGGGGACCTCTGGGTGTGGGGGAACTTATGGGTTGATCTGTGCCCCCCAAATCCCTATGTTCAAGTTCTAATCCCCAGTCCCTCAGGACGTGACCTTGTTTGGAAATGGGCTGGTTGCAGATACAGCTAGTTAAGATGAAGTCACCACGGAGCAGAGTGGGTCCCTAATCCAGTAACATTGGCTCCTGTTCGAAAGGGGAATCCGGACATGGACACACCCACAGAGGATGCTGGGAGAATGAAGGCAGGGGCCGGAGTGACGAACTTACAGCCAAGGCGGCCGGCAGCCACCAGAAGGAACAAGGCCTGCTGACACCTTGATCTTGGACTTCCGGCCTCCAGAAATCTGAGACAATCCAGTTCTGTTGTTTAAGGCACCCAGCCTGTGGTCCTTCATTACGGCCACTCCAGGAAACAAACCTTGAGCTGCGCATGCAAGGCTGGGCTGTGCACGGCCCACGGGTCCCTGGCCCATCAGAGCAGCTTGTACCAGGGAATGCTGGGGGTAGGGCGCAGGTGTCAGGCCCCTGGGAGCCCTGACCTCAGTGTGTTTTAAAGAGGGCTGTGCCACGATGGGAGAGGCTTCTCTCTGGCCTCTCCACTCAGGGAGGATTGGAGGGTGAGCTGCCAGGGGGCCGAGGCCCTAGCTAGGCCAGGCCTGGTGGCAGACAGCAGCGGGCAGAACAGGCGCCAGGCAGGGAGCCAGACAAGTTCCATGTCCACAGTGAGTCTCTGGTCCAACTGAGTGTCGAGAGGCCTGGGGCTGATGAGCACGTGGTCTGGAGACGGGGCCTCTCATGCACAGGGGTGACAGCAGGTGGGGGCTTGGGAACAGCTGGACAGGTGGCCGCTCAGGGCTGTGCAGGGCCAATTTTGGGAAGCAAGACTTGGCTGAGTGCTTTCAAGGTCACAGCCAGGCCACCCAGAACAGAACTGGGCGTGGGTTGGAGGGGGTGGGCAGGAATGGGAAAGCAAATGGAGGGAGGAGATGGGAACCTTGAGTACAGGAAAGGAGGGGCAAGTGGCAGCTCCTAGGAAGTTGTGGGGTGAACAGACCGAGGCCCATGGGGAAGGACTATCAAAAATTCTGCCACTGCCCTGGCTGGTGTGGCTCGGTGGATTGAGTGCCGGCCTGCAAACCAAAGGGTCGAGGGTTTGATTTCCAGTTGGGGCACATGCCTAGGTTTTGGGTCAGGTCCTCAGAAGGGGCACGTGAAAGGCAACCACACATTGATGTTTTACTCCGTCTTTCTCCCTCTTTCCCCTCTTTCTAAAAATTAAATAAAAATTTTTAAAAAATTGAAAAAAAATTCTGCCACAGATGTGTTTTTTCCACGGGCTCTCTGGCCTGCCCACCCAGCACTCAGCCTTGGGGCTGGTTCCCACACCGTGTTCCTGGGAAGCCCTCCCCGGTTCCTCCAGGCATAGGGGTTGTTACCCCTGGTGCCCCTACAGCTTCTAGAATATACCCTGACCCCAAAACCCACCTCCCCAGCAGTGGGAGGTGGGCTCACCCTCGTGTGACTTTCCCCGAGGGTGGGGGGCCAAGGCCCGGGGTGGGAGGCCCGTGCTCCTCTGCTGGGCCGACACACTGGGCTCCACCCTGATGACCAGGACCGCCTGAGCGCCTGGCGGATGGTTCCTGTCCCTTCGGGGCTGGGCACTTGTGGCGTCTATGGGTGGTCATAGGAATCCACTGGGGTGAATGCCTTCGAAATGCAGCCAGCCAAGACATGAGAAATGAGTTCCTCTGCCACTCGGGGATTTCCTGCCCGCCACCGGATCCTCCCTTCTCACAGCAGCAGCAGCAAGGGGCGCCTGTTCCGCTCGCTCCTGGGGAGGTCGCGCTGTGCCTTCCTGCAGGCCCTCTGAGGTCCCACTGCCGAGGCCACTGAGCTTCCGGCCAGGGGGACCCAGACAATGCCTGGCTCCGGGCCACAGGTTTGCTTCCTGATGCCTCTCCCGCTTCCTCCAGGGTCCCACCCACAGCCCCCCCACACCCAGGCACGCTGGGCTCCCGTCAGTCTGGGCTCCCAGGGTGGCCAGCAGAGGCAGTGAAGGGGACAGGGTGTGGCGCAAGGCCCAGGAACCCGATAAACGCTCCAGTCCCACACTCCTCGGAGATTGTCAAGGAATTCCCAGTTTAGCAGTAGAGATGAAAACACATATAAATAATACGGAGTAAGGCAGGCACTGCTCGGGGGCCTGAGATGCGACAGGGAGCAGCAAACAACAAGGGCACAGATAGGATGTAAATCGTCACACTCTTGAACTCAGCGATCTGACTTCCAGGTAGTTTCGTAAAAGATACAAATTACAAGCCCTGGCTCATGTAGCTCAGGGGATTGAGCACAGGCTGCAAACCAAAGGCTCACCAGTTCGATTCCCAGTCAGGGCACGTACCTGGGTTGCAGGCCAGGTCCCCAGTGGGGGCCATGTGAGAGGCAACCACACATTGATGTTTCTCTCCCTCTCTTTCTCCCTCCCTTCCCCTCTCTGTCTAAAATAAAAATCTTAAAAAAAAAAAAAGATACAAATTACAATGTGGACCAACCAATGCTTGGGGCCGCTGCTACCCCGCACACCTGCCCTCGTGCCGTCATACGCAGTGCAGGCGCACGTGAACATCCGTGTCTACACACGGAAGAAAAACTAGAAAAGGACAAAAATAACTGAAAATAGATCCCCTAAGACGGCTGGAAAATAGAAGACTTTAAAATATGGCATCTGAAGGTACTTTAAGGTGGACTCCCAGAGGCCGGCAGCAGCCCCTCTGGGGGCTGTGACTCTTAGTCTCTTCCGTCACTAGGAGTCTCAGGCCCGCTCCGGCATCCTGCCGATTAACAGGGCGCTCGCTTGCTCAGCACCTGAGCCCGGAGCCTGCTGCCACGTCCTCCCTCTCGGCCTCGCCTGCTGCCAGGGCCTCGAGAAGCCCCGCTCCACCTCAGACAAGTCCTGCTTCTCCCCGCACTCAGTTGAGGCACCTGCCTCAGGGCCCTGCACCCCAAAGACCCTGCACAGCGACTCCCGACTTCTCCAGCTCAGGCCCCTCCGGGCAGGAGTGTGGTCCCCGGCTCCTGCTCAGCTACCCTCCTCTTCCTCGCCCCCTGCCACTTCCACTGCTGTGAAGCAGAACCAGCCCCGCTGTCCTTGATCCTCCTTCTCCCTGCACGGCCCTTCTGAGCCCTCTCCTTCCCTGTCCTAGGACTGACCCTCAAGTTGGCGCCCCTCCTAGGCCCCACATGGTAGCCACTCCCTGTTCTCAGGCTGGGCCCCGTGCCGGGAGGCCGAGCTCACCTGTGGCTCTGCTATCGCCCCGGCGGGTTTTACCCCCTGGCTTCTCTCTGCCCCCAAGGACACATCGTCCTTGGCACAGCAGTGTGCTGGCGCTCTTGCTCTCCTCCAGCCCGGGTCGGCACAGGCGCCAGCCCTCCTGGGCCTGCCTTTCCTGCTGTGACCCCTGGGCCCCCACAGAAGGCACTGTGGCTGCTGGGAGGATAGACTCTGCGGCCCTGGGCCCCTCGAGTTCCCTTCTCCCCTCAGAGTGTGGCTGCTGTGCCTGGCTGGCTCCCTCTCCTCCCGTCCTTCATGCTCCTGGCCCCGAGGCGGCAGAACTCTGGGAGCCCTCTCTTGCTCTCCCCTCTCCCGCCCATCTCCCACACCACCAGCACCCATCCAGCATGCCCAAAGTGGCGTCGTCAGGTCCCAGGCCTGCTCTGCTCCATCTGCCTCTGAAATTACTTCCTCAAAGCCAGATAAGCTGGCAGCCCCCTCTACACATTCTGTCCTCCCCGCAGGGGCATGGTCCCTGGGAATTTTCTCCTGAGCGCTGTGGGACCTCGGGGGATGCTGGGATGGACGTGGCCCCAGAGCAGGCCCACAACCAGAAGCCTTTGTGCTCAGTGACCGGAGCTCCCACACTGCAGCCGCACGGACAAGAAAGAGAGGGCAGCTCTGCCTGGGGGAGGGGCTGGAGCTGACCTGCGGAGAAGGACACACACTGAGGGCAGGCCTTGTCCTGGGTTTAGGGGTGATGCAGTGACGAGGGACTGCAGATGCCACATGGTCTCCAGACCACATGCCATGAGCTTCCCCACATCTTTCTCGAAATGTCTCTGCTGGTCATACTCCCCGCTTCTGTGTCTCAGCTTCCTCATCTGTGAGACGGGGGGAAGCACCACCGCCTCTCTGCAGGGCGGCGGGGCCTGCATGCGGGGCACGTGGCCAGGCCCTGCCCCAAAATGGAGGTCTTGGCCAATCTCTAACCCATCCGGCCTCTGTCTCCCCATCTGTGAAAAGGGACAGAAACAGGATCTACTGCTTAGCACCTGTAGCGAGCTGAACTGTGTCGCACAAAATGATGTGCTAAAGTCCTAGCCCGAGTGGTTCGTGGTGGGACCTTATTCCGAATGAGGGTCTTTGCAGGTCCCACTGCAGGAACAGGGGGCGCCCCATACCCAACAGGCCTGGTGTCCTTACAAGAAGAGGAGACACACAGAAAGACAGGGAAAACAGACGCCACGGGAAGACAGACCCATGGGAAGATGCCACGTGACCAGGAAAGCCAGGCTGGGGTGGCGTGTCCCCAGGCTAAGGCACACGAAGGGCCAGTGACGACACCAGAAGCTAAGAGAAAGGTCCGGAACAGACGCTTCTGGACAGCCTTTGTTTGAGAACATGGCCCGGCTGACAAGCTGATCTCTGACTTCCGGCCTCCAGGGCGGAGACCATTTCTCTCTGTGACTCTAAGCCACCAGGCCTGTGGTGCCCTGTTACGGCCACCTTGGGAAACCAGCGCAGCGCTGCCACAGAGATGCACGCAGTGGGCATGCACTGCACAGGGCAGGATGTGTGGGGTAAACGCCAGGTTCAAGGTCTGCGTGTGGCACATGCCGTGCCTCTTCCTCCCGTCCTGTGCTGTGCTGTCCCCTCTCAGCGGGTACAAGGCCTACCTGTTGCTCAGGAAGCCCACCGCCAGCTCGGCCAGCTCGCCCTCCACCTCCTCCTGGCTCAGCACTGTCCCTGGGACCTTCCACGGCAAAGGGCTCTCTGGGCTCAGTGGGGCTGGGAAGTCGCGGAGGAACTCGTCCAGGAAGCTGGGGGTCTCCTCTGCCATCCGGCTGCTCTGCTCGGGGGCTCCGGAGGCCATGCCCAGAGCATCCCGAGGGGACTGCTGGCAGGGTTCCAGTCGGGCTGCACACTAGGGGGAGACACCAGGGTCAGCAAAAACAGGGAGCACTCAGCACCCTGCTGTGGGGTCTTCGGGCCTTGCAGTGCTGACTGCCTGGCGCCTAGATATCTCCTGCACCTTCAAACACCCCAGAGCAGGGGCCACACCAAGCTCAGGGCCCGGGGCAGAAGGCCACCCAGCTTCACACAGTTCAGGGGGCCCAAGTAAGTGGGAGGGACAACCCTGGCCGCTCCGATCTGAGAGAGGACGTGGGGGAGGCTAGAGAAGTGGCTTTAGGAGCCAGAGCAAGAGGAAATAGCTGCCTAGATATCCTGAAGGCGGGCGAGCTCCTCGCAGCAACGGCCAGTGTAGCCAGTGGTGGGCAGGAGAGGGACACTAGGACCAGGCCGCTGAGGTAGGTGAGGGGGCTCAACTTGACCCAGGACCTGGGCATCCAAGAGGTGAGGAAGTGATGGCACCAGGTCTGTGAGCCTAGATGTGGTGCCCAGAGGGGGGAAGGGTCACCTGTTAAAGGAAGAAAACGGCCTGGACAGGATAGCGGCAGGGCCCGCATGCAGGAGGGCTGGCCCTGGGCTATTTCAGAGATGGACCAGAGGGGGAGCAGCAAGGGCTCCCCAGAGGGTGAACTCAGGACAGTCAGAGGAGTTTCGAATGCGGCCAAGCCTAGTGAGGCCTCCCCAACGGGAGGAGTCCGGGCCTCCGAAGGCCCGGCTGGAGGAGAGGCCCGTGGATGGCACAGGCCACTGACCCCACTGTCTCGCACACAGCTCCAGCCTCGAGGCCTCTTCTTCCCAGTAAGCTTAAGAGGCCGGAGGGCTTACTAGCTGCCAGCCCCTCAGCATTACGTGAGCCCCCATTTCACAGATGGGAACACTGAGGCTTACAGAGGGGCAGACCTTTGCCTGAGAACGGACGATAGGGTTACACAGAGATCATGGAGCCCAAGAGCATCAGCCCCCCTCCCCTAACCCACTTCTCTCACATCTGGAAGAAGGTGTCGCTCACCCCCACCCTCCACCCCAAGGTGGGACTCCAGCTCCTCTCCCCCAGCTCAGGACCACCCTCTCCACCGCATACCTGCCCCCTTCTCCCCAGCCTGCCTGTCTCAGTTTGCATGCTAGCTAAGGCCCAGTCAGTCAAACACCGCCCCCAGCCCCCAGGGTTGCTGGACTCCCGCCTGCTACTCAGCCCTGCTGACCCAAATAGTCCCACAGGACTTCTGTTCATTGCCCCTCGGGGTTACCCTCTGCCCCCCACCCTCCCACAATCCCACTTAGGGGCTACAGCCCAGCCCTCGCCAGGCCCCACTTCCTAACACACACACACACGCACACACCTGTGCAGTCACCTCCCAACCCCAGGGCCCCTGAGGGGCCCTCACTCTCGCCCCCTCCTCTCTGCCTCTCCACAGCAGCCAGCGGGGAACTTTCTTCGGGAATGAATCCCACAAATTTATGCCCCCAAGAAACAAAATGTTTCCTGACGGTAACAAATTGACTTGAGAGCCTAAGCAACACCCCAAGTTTTAGGAGATTTGGGGGAGCATTTTCATAGCCCATCCCCACCTGAGGCCTTCTAGGTTCTGAGGGGTGAATGGAGAGGGCAGAACCACAGGAGAGAATCTTCCAGAATCGTCAGTCTTAGATACCTACAGACCACAGCCGTCCACCTCACCGCAGGGCAGCTGCAGGCGAGGGCTGCAGTCGGAGGGCGAAGGCCGCTCCCAAGCCCAGGGCGAGCAGGGCCAGGGGACAGGCTGTCCTCGCTAAGCGCTAACTCAGAGCAAGTCTTCTTAAAGAACAAA